CCGGTCATCGTCGGCTAAAGACATTGAACGAGATTTTAATCTCCGGCGGAGGTGCTGTTCGATGGTGATATGACCGAAGCCGAAGCTTTCTACAAGTCTCGTGTGCTCGGGTCTGAACACAATTCGAATATGCAGAGTAGAATATCTCGTCGAACGTGGCATGCCGTCCAAAGTGACGTAGTTCTTCGCATCCTGTGTGGACTTTATAAACACACTTGGTCCGTAACAACACCATCCTTTCGTTAGTGGTACGTGGCTCAAATGTGACCCCTAAGACCATGTGTTTGTTGGCCTGCCTACGCCAATCAAGAGTTTTACTGCGTCAGTGCACGATGGCTCGGATTTACTAGTAGTAGCGGTTCAATGGTATATTCTCCGCTACATCTTCATGACCTCTCTACAGAGAGGTCGCCAGTTTTACAGTGTTATATATAAAGGATAGAAGATGAAGCTTTCGGCATTGATCAATCTCTGGGTGATGCGTAATGTGTTCAACTTCATTAAGCATCATTTGGAGGCGATTGAATGCATATCAGGCCTTTCTAATGGCTCGCGGTGGCCTAGCGATGTATCGAGCCAGTGCTGCTATCCTCTCAGATAAGCCTGGTACCAATCTGCCGACGTCAGAGGGATGGAAGGCTTGGTGAGCCATGGGCGCGAGGATCGATCTATGTGTATCGCAGGGCGCCTCCGACCAGCGTGCCACGCGCCTCCCTATTTTATATTAAGTTGCTCAGAAATAAATGAGCTTTTTAAAATATTGTTTTAATGTATTTTTTGCCAATAAAGTGTTCATTGTACCTTGTATTATTAAATATCGTTAGTAAGCTGATTTATGCTCTTTTTAACCATTTCGTCATATTTTGCCAGAAGTTAAATTTTTTTCACAATTCTTGACCTTTGCAATTTTAAATGTCGAAAAACAGTTTCTGTCGAATTTTCTTTCATGAGTTCAAACTCGGTCGTCGTGAAGCAGAGAGATCTCGAAACATTAATGAAGTTTGGGGTGAAGTAAGTGAATCAACAGTGCGAACATGATTCAGGAAAGTTCGATCTGTTGATTTCGACCTCGAAGATAAGGAACGCCGCAGAGGTCCCAATGAACTCGACGACGACGAGTTGAAGGCACTAGTGGACGCAAACACGCGAACAACTGTTCGAGAGCTTGCAGAACAGCTTAGCGGAAGCACAGGAACAATTCCCACTCGCTTGAATCGCACAGGTAAGACAAAAAAACTCGACAAGTGGTTTGTGCACGAATTAAACGATAATCAGAAAAATCACCGTTTTGAAGCGTCATCTGCTGTTTTTCTGCATAGCAAGAACGACCATTTTCTTGATCGAATTGTGACGTACGACGAGAAATGGATTCTATACGACTACCAGCGAAGTTCAGCTCAATGGTTGGATTGCGATCAGGCTCCATAGCACTTCCCAAAGCCGAAATATCACCAAAAATGGTTATGGTGATTGCTTGGTGGTCTGCAGCAGAGATGACTCAGCTTTTTGAATCTGCGCGCAACGACTACGGCAGAGATGTATTGCCAATAAATCGACGAAATGCGCCGTAAACTCCAGAAAGAACGACCGGCATTAGGCAACAGAAAAGGACCAAGCCTTCTACACGATAACATCTATCCTCAATTTGTGGAACCAGCGCTGCAGAAGTTGAACGAGTTAGGCTACGAAACTTTGCCTCATCCGCCGTATTCCCCAGACTTCTCGTATCACTTCCTCAAGCATTTTGACAATTTCCTGCGCGGGAAATGCTTCACCGAACACGATGAAGGAAAAAATGCCTCGACGAATTCATCGCTTCCAGAACTCCAGAATTTTATGCAGTTGGAATAAGTAAACTTGGTTCTCGTTGGCGAAAGTGTTTAGATCCAGATGGTAATTATTTTAATCAACAAAGTTTTGCTCGGAGCAATTTATGATATTTTAATAATATAGATGAAACGCTCATTTATTTCTGAACAGCCTATTATATGCATGCATACGTTATATATACGTTATACATATTTGTTTATGTGTATATACATACATATGTACATATATATATCGTACATATTTTTTTCATGACCCGCATTTTACATCTAAGAGGCGGTCCCATCACTTCTCAGATTCGACTCGTTTCCTCGTATCCACCGTCCACTAAGGTCTACTAACTTTTACGTGCGGCTTCAGCTGCTGCTTGAGGATTTTCCTTTCGTCGTGAATGTAGTTGAATGCTGGTCGAGTCGATTCTCTGGAGTCTCCTTGAAACCGCGCTGTGCTAAAACATTCCCACTTAGATTACAGCAAGCCAACCTTTCCCGGATAAGTCTGGAAGCGATTTCCCGGTCCCAGAGGGATGTGGGGATCGGTGTGGCGAGGCGGCATCGAGCTATCACCGTGCTCGTTATGATCGGCATCACTATCACTGTGCTACTCCCTCACCATCCTTCCCTTATATATATGTGTAACCTATCCTTATTCTAATCCTATCCAAATATGATTGGCAAGTTAAGGAAAATGCGACCGAAGACTACCTCCAGGTTGTTTAATGACTTAAAAGTTGTGTTGGTTTCGCTTAAGTTGCTCAGCCAAGAAGAGCAGATTGCGTCTCAATTACCACCAAGTTGTTGCTCGAGAAGAGGAAGAACTTATGCTTGTTTTTACTACAACATGCTTAACACGGCTAATAATTGTTGCCAATTATAGAGTAGTTTTACGAGAAGGTCTACATCGGTGCAGACAGAAGAAGCCATTGGAAGCAGTACAAAAAAAGAACTAGTCCGAAGAAATGCCATCGGTACTTGTGCGAATACAACGTTCCACTCTTAGCATTTTTGGACGAAGGTGGGACCACTAAGAACTTCCCTTTATGATGTGAATTGGTAACGATAAAGTTTTAGACCAACCCTGTCCGTTCCGTAATTCGTGTCCAGGGCCCTAAAATTCCTCTAGAGAAAAGCTATTCAGAATTCTTTCCTCTGAGGTTTAAGTTGAACGAGTGCAATCTTATAAGCGCTTGTCGACCAAGGGGTGGACCCATCTTAAATAAGAACTTTATCTGAATGTTATCGGAACTGCACCACGAAAATACAGTTTTTCGGTCAACTTCGCACCAGACCTTTAGAAAAAGGAGTTCGACAAAGCGACACAATGTCGCCAAAGTTGTTTACTGCCGACTGTAGTGGATAATGAAGTTACTCGATTGGGATGGGAAAGGGATTCATATTAATGGAAAATCCTATAAAATCTTCGTTTTGCGGATAACATCGTGTTTTTTTGTAGTAGTAAAAATAAAGAAGAGGCGATGTATAGTGACTTCAGTGAGCGGGAAGAAATCGTTGGTCTACGAATAAGTTGAGAAAACACCCAGGTCACGAGAAACTCATGGTGCGAACGATAACGAATCAAACCAAGTGGTTCATAGACTACATTGTATATGTACTTCGGAGGTTCAATGAACGTGGAGAAGAATACGAAGGAAGAATAATACAAAAAAAAAAATGAGAGCCACATATATTCAGGGCTTTCAAAGAAGCCACCGAGCAACCAAAGGACCCGAAACTCCGCGCACACCTTTTCGACTACTACCCAGGTCCTAAGGCTTTGTTATGTAACAGAGACCTACTGTGATGCTTCAACCACATCAGTGATACTGCGCACTACTCACAGAGCGTTTGAACTGTTCTTCTGAACTGTAGCGAACCAGCACACAATGTCCATTCGGAATGCGGCGCTCAGGTCTTCTAAATCTAACTTATCTTCGAGACAGGAAAACACACATCAATAGTGAAAATTAGGTGGGTCGATCATCTAATGAGAAGAACAGACAGTTGGATGAAAAGAACCACGATGGTGGACATGCTTGTGAGTAAGTTCAAACAGCTGTACTCGAAGCAGAAGTTGTTTTACAGATCGATCTGAGACTAGGACTCGCCAGCATGGTCAAATCAAACCACCGCCATGGGCGACCTTTCCAATACAAAGAAACGACTTAAAAATTACGAGTTAAATTCAAACTTGGATAATTAAATCAGATTACTTGAATGAAAAATGTACTGCAGTTTGCACAACTTGTGAGAACGGGTTGCCCAAGCATCCAAGTTACTAAGTATTGTGTGATTGCCGTCCCATTATTTATTTGTGTTTGCGTATGGCTTTCTTCCAGTGTTAAGGTACTGTTCTGTTCTAGTTCCAACTTTGTTTTCTTTTCAAACGGCATTATTTTTTTCCGTACTCGTCATGCATTGTTCTTCCTGTCACCCTCGATACGATGTTATCTGCTTGATGAAACACGGATGCTTCTCAATAGATGTGGAGCGTTGTTCAACAGATTTTAATTTTTCCTTGTATGACTATATTCTTCGTGAAAATTAAACGAATAGAGTGGTCTGAGTTGACTGTTTCAATATCTTTTGTGTTGTAGTAATGAAACGGTTTGAAGTGTAGAACCAGCTCAAATAAAAATGTTTCTTTCACTTACCAAGTATGACTTCCAATTTCCTTTATTGAAATTCAATGGGGATACTTCCAAAAACCGGGACGAGAGTGCGTATAGTTGCCAAAATTTACGTTCCGCCTAGTACTTCGGTTAGTGTTCTGTAGGAAAGCTCGATAGTAAAAGAGCGCTATCTCACTATTGTTACAGTTATTTCTTTCAAACCAGGGCTTTATGTTACACACGAGACTTTTCGCGTGCAGGTTTAACCACTGCTTGAGGGGTTTTCCATTCTTGATGAATATCGTTCAGTGTTCATGGAGTCGATTCTCGCTGCATTCGTGAGATAGCCGGACTAGAGCGTTCCCATTTGGATTGCTGAGAGTGGACTTCTCCTAGGAAAAATTTGGTACCAATTTCCTGACCCTTGAGGGAAGAGAGGCTTGCTAAGCCCGAGGTGGGGTCGAACCAATGCCGCGCTTGTGACACTCGGTATAACAACCACTGTGTTTCTCGCCTCTTGAAGCAAAAATATGCCATGTATTAATGCAGGTGATACCCGTGAAGAATGGGCGGAATCAAAGGGGCGATAAAAATGGAAAATTCGTTATTCTGTAGCCATCTGCAGGTGAAGTTCGACCTTCTTTATAGAAGCAACCTCTTTGGTGGTGGTAACGACGTGCAGAAAAATGCACAGGCAACCGTGGGGAGGGCAAAAGGTGGTGACCGTGATCTGGTAGGGCACTTCCGTGCGTCCATTCTCACACGATTCATGAATTCTACTTGTATTCGTCAAAGTTATGCCTTTACAGAATCTTGAGTTTGCTTGTATAGCTTTTTCTTACCAGAATTTTCGCTGCTTGGTGGGACTTGTTGTCGTCGTCGTTGCTTATTCATCTTTCTGTTTCAGTTTTCGTCAAGTGTATGATTGTTCCTGAACACATTTCTGTGACTGGAGAATCCGTGAAAACTTCCGAATTTGATGTAACCTTTTTAATGTCTTCTTTTCTCTCTCTTAGTATCTAATCCATACTGTTTACTAAGGTTTTTTTTTAATTCCAGGGCCAAAATGTTGCGGGTCGTGAACGATTAATGCAACTAATGAATGTGCCAGATCGTATTGTTCTAACTGGAGGAAACAACTATGAAGGTTTTGAGGCTGAACCACTAGAGCTTATGAAAGATCATGCTACTCAGAAAAGAGAGGTGTTTTCCCAGCTGTTGTACGTGGAAGGCTTTTTATAGCTTTTTTTTCTTTTTTTTTTTTGTTTTCAGGAGAGCATCCAAGATTTGCCGAGTGTTATAACTCTTGAACATAAACCCTATTTGGATCGAGGAGAACCTAATGTATGTTGTTTTTTGTTTTTACCTTTCTTATCTTTTTCGCTACTGTTTTTCTCCTGCAACAATAAATTTCTTTATTGACTGTTAAGGATGAAGCTGTCAAAAGCGAAAATTCGATCGCAATCGAGGAAAATCCACTCCAGGAGTTAAAGTTAATGCGACGTCAGATAGGTGCAGCTTTTGATAGCAGTTATCTGATCGATTTATTTAGAGTCCATCCAACGGCTTACTTCCTCTTTGCGGCTGGAAGGTGTCCCTGGGTGTCGAGTTGCGATGTGTAATGGGGGAATTCACTACACCCACCCTGTATCAGCAGTGCTTCTCACGCTAAGGAGTTCGGCGTTTCCATAAGGTGCTGGGGTCTGCAAACCCAATGAAGACGGGCCGTCCAAGTATCCAAGTACTTACTTAGAGCCTACTTAGTACGAAATGCCCAGTTTTAGTGAGAAGCTTTAATGTGTTGTTAACTTTTCGAAAATGCAGTTTTTACCCGTGGAAAGTGAGCATTTTGCACCTCACAAGACCAACTTTCACTCAACCTCGGCTTGAATAACCAATCACCTGTATCAGTTGTACCATCTGTAATCCCTTGATCGTCGAGTGATTCGAGCATGCCCCAGTAAGTCTTCAATTTTTCATTGTCGCGTGCAAGAGTAATCCAGTGGGTTCTGCTCTCTCTAGGGACTCGTCGAGCATCATATCTTTCTTCTAGGCTCTTCGTGAAGAATTCTGGCCATCAGGTCCGTGGTCTTCCTGCAGTACGTCTGACATCCCGAACAATCCAGTCACTAACGGCTCTTGTCCGTCGGTTGTCATTCATGCGCATTACGTGTCCGGCCCACCTTATCTTCGACTCTTTGCCGTACAGAGTGGCATCTTTGATTTTTGATCGTTGACGCAGATCGCAGCTCGGATCCCATCCCGTACTTGTGTGGAACGGGGTGCTTCTAGCATCGTCCTTTCGACTTCGCGTTCGATAATGCTGAGTGAACTTTCATCCTGCTTGCGCAGCGACCAGGTTTCTGACTCATACGTTAGGGCAGGAAGTACCGTTGACTCGAAATAGTGGGCACAAAGTCGGGTGTTCTTTGTTCTCTTGACTGCATCCTCGATGCTCTTGAAAGCTTCCCAAGCCGCTCGTTTCCTTCTACTTAACTCTGAAGCTAAGTCGTATATCGTTTTGATTTCCCGACCTAGGTAGATGTAACTGGAACATTCAGAGATATTCGTTCCGCTGAGTGCGAATGGACCGTACGAAACCAGTCCATTCCTCATGAAGATCGTTTTTTTTGAGATTTGGTTGAAGACCAATCCTTCCACAGGCCTTATCAAAGTTGGCAAGCATTCGTTCCGCTTGGTTGTTTCCTGTTATAAGAACGATGTTATCAGCAAAGCGAAGATGATGTAACTGCTGACCATCGATTTTCGCTCCCATATTATCCCATTCCATTGTTCGCATGACATTCTGGAGAGTGGAGGTAAACAATTTTGGCGAGATGGTATTGCCTTTCCTAACACCTCTTTCGACGTCAATGTTAATGTCGTTGTAGAATGGTGATATCTTGGTTGCGAAATTTTTGCACAATTCACGACGAATATTTATGTACTGAGTAGAGACTCCTTGACTATCAAGGGCTTCCATGACTGCTTCTATCTCAATTGAGCCAAAGGCCTTCTGTAAATCGATGAAAGTGAGACAGAGTGGTCTTTTGTACTCTCGCGATACTTCAATGAGTTTTGTGGGCGTGGTCCATTGTACTTACTAATAACCAGAAGTATCCATTAACTACCAAAGTACTACAAGTCTTTTATTGATTTAAATTGTAGCGCAGTTTAGGAACCTTTGCAATTAAGGCACATTTGCGGAAGATGTTTTAAGCTTTGTTATGCCATCAGTCGAAAAGCTTGGATTTTTGGTTCCGATTCATCAAAAAGCTTTTTGACTGTGTGTGCTGGCAAGTGTTTCTTTGCGAAGGAAGTGGTCCGAATGTTTGAACGGATGGTAAACCGTTAATGAAAAATCTGCTGATTAAGGGGGATTAGTGGTATGCTTCAGGGTCGCTCACTTTTTTTTGTGAGTATTTGTGAAACATGGAAAAACGCATTTGTCTTCCATTGTTGTACAGAACTCAACGTTTTTTGTTAGAACTCTTTGTGTTGAACTTCCTCGTTTTGTATTGGAACAGTGTCAAACATCGAGTGCTTTCCAGTAGAAGCCCAAAGCATTGAGCAGTGAGCAATGAGCAATGCGCAGTTTACGTCTATGATCTTCTTGATTTTCATTTCCTACATGCAGCAACCAGTTGTTGAATTACTGTTTTACGTTTATTGTAATTCCGTTTATACTAAGGTGTTGTGCTAATGGATGGAATGGATTATCGCTTGGGCCAACCAAGTTGTTAAGAATATTGATATCCGGTAGTGAAAGATAAAATTATGTTGAGGACTGTCCTACTCTTGCTGTACAAAAGCCACTCAAGTATCACTTTTTAATCACAATTTATAACTTCTTATTTTCTGCCTATTATCTTTTTATGGTAGGTTGTTGTGTGAAATCCAACTACAGTGATGCTGAGATATTTTGGGAGTTTTAAGTCTAAGCCAGATCAAACCGCGACTACCCTTTCCGGGGCTCACGTGTTACGTACTGCACCACTGAGACCCTCGATTTGCCTTTTTCTCGGCCAGTTCTCCCCTACCAATGCCGTCAACTATCACCCGTCAATAGGAACGATCTGGGGAGCACAAGTCGGTATTGAACCCAGTTGGGCTGATTCTGTAATCGTACTCACAGTGTACAACTTTTTATTTTCTGTCTGTTATTTTTTATAGCAGGGTATTATGTGAAATACAGATATGATGCTGAGACATTTGCAAAATTCTGGCACTATGCCGGATTTAAACCCGTGATTCTCCTTTCTGGGTTTTCATATTTTTACTGGGTTGGGTCGTGGCGAAACTATTGTTGTTTTTCCCATTGATTCTTCTGAAAGTGTTCGAATCCATTTCCGTGGGTCTCCTTCAAACAATGCATTAGCATGGATGTAAGCAACAGCAGCGGCTGGTTCGTGATTCCAATTCTTCTGATCACAGGTTCGCCATGGTTCGCGTTCGATTTGTAATTTGACCTTGTTTTATCGGTAATTTTTCTAAGAGATTCGATTTCGGTCCTGCTGCTGTCTTATTTCTTTGTTACGACGTCATTTTCCACGTGGTGCATCATAGTTAAACATCTAATGTGGTTTACGTTTTTTAGAAAATCGTTTGTGTACTTTTGAAACTGTCGTATCATTGATTTCAAAGATTTTCTCTAATCAAGTTTGTTGAATGTGTTTGAAGAAAATCAAACTTCAGGTTTTTCTAAAGGATGATAGGAGTCTTTTTTACTTTTAGCAACTGAATCGAATCTTGGAAAACAAAGTGACTGGATCAAGCACAGCATGACTCTAGGAGGGGTTACTGTGGTTCATATTGTTTTTTGAGTGTGATCTCTACATGGTCATTAGGCAAATTTCTTGTTTAGCGAAGGTTGTTCTTTCTTTAATGAATGGATCTGCATGAAAGCGGCATGCTATGAACAGAAGCGAAGTAAAACGGATCAGAACCGTGTCGGCCTCTTTTTCCAGTTTTCCAGACTGCATTCGTCTTCTTTAGCTTTTTCTATCCCAGATCCTAGGTCTTCGACAACGAATTGATGTGAAAACTTTTCTTTTTCAGTACCTGTAGGAGTGTTATTTCGAGTAACCAAAATCTATGAACGACGTTGTTGGCCGAGTCTACACGTCCCTACTTAGATGCTTGGCTGATCCTTCTTCATAAATTGCATGGATCCTAGTACTTCATTCATCAGTCTCATTGCCTTCCGACTCTTCAAAAAGTTGGTCGGATTTGTGTATGGGTTCGGTTGCAACTTGAGATCCTATTATTCGTTTTCCTCATCTTCATTGACTGTTGATTGACGTTGGAGCGCGATTTCTACTCCAAATTCGTAGATAGTCATGCTAGACCGTTTCTGAATATATATATATATATTTGTATATATATGTGTATATGTATGAATATATGGTGCATATAGCAGATATACATGCATGTAGATACGTATATATACGTATATAAATGCGGACATAAGTGGCGCAGTGGTTAGAGGCGCCCTGCGATAGACATGTGTTCGGTAGTTCGATTCTGTGTTTTGAGCTCACAAAGCCTTTCATCTCTCCGGAATCGGTATACGAACATCGACTACACACATCGATGGGCTACTGCAATTGATTTTGTATACTAGATAGTGCACTGAACCATCTCTAATGGCACTTGATGAGGTTGAATGCGTGTCACATCCCTAAGAAATTGATCTACGCCGTGTGCTTTGTCCGTCATATATATATGTATATATATATTTATATTTATATTTATATATATATATAAATGTATAGTAGTGTAGAAATGTGGGAATAAGAAATCAACCAACTACGCAAAGATATAATAGGTGGAAAGTTGCACTGAGGAAATAAACGCCGGAAACCTTTCTAGTTTTATAAAGGGCGACTAATACGTATTAAATTAATGTTTTCCCTTCTAAGTTTGCCGTTCCTCGAGTAGTTTACCACGTCATAGTGGCTGAGGGTGTTGCTGCGTCGAATAACATGGACTATACCCAATCAGGTTCGCACAGTTCCAAGTTTGATGATTCCGAAAAATCGGTAGACCGCCGCTGAAGTTCACTGTCGTCACGGCATATAACCATTGGCAAAGTGGGGCAAGGGCAAGGCTGTAGTTCACTTTTTTACGATCTGAGAACACTGGAACGGGTTTTTAGAGTCTTTAAGTAGATTTGATAGCGCAAGCACTGTAGGAGAGGATCTGTTCAAGTATCAATTATTATTGCGTCTGTCACTCCCAGTCACCCTTTATACTTTTTGTGTGTTGCTTTAGAGTTTTATATGAAATCATTTGAATAATGGATGCGGAGAACGTTTAGGTCGTATTTCAACAAGGTTGTTCCAACTGGAGGATGAGTTAGAGAAACATCGGTTTCGAGAAAAGGTTGTGTTCTTTATTTTATTATCATAGTAGGTATGATCGTTTTTATGTAATAATGGTATCACTTCTATAATGTGAATTAACGTCCCGTCGACATGGAAACTTCTGGAC